AAAATTGAAGAAATTAGTTTGTTGGAAGGTTGACATTGATGAAGTTATTTTTTGGGTTCATCCTTTATATTTGAAAATCTGATATTTATTGTTAGAAAAATCAGAATCAAATTAGACGAAGAAACTAAATTTAACTAAGAAACTTACATCTAAAAAAAGATGGAGTCATGAAACTTGATTTATAGACGTTTCCATTAGATTATCGAGAACAATATTGACCAGAACTGGAGTCCTGGTGGCCGAAAATAGCTGAATTAATTTGTCTGGGTATTACAGCTGTCTCAATTGGTGCACAATCTCCGTTCACTTTACAGTGTCTGGTATGACCTCTGGAGAATTCAATCAATTCAGGTTTCTTTGTTGTGTAAGACCTATTGATATTCAACCCAATAAAAAGTCAGCCTCCACTGTTTGATTTATTCCATTCAAATGAGGACTGTGTGTGATCTTTTCTGACAATTGAACAGTTTCTCAACAGTAATTCATTCTGATTGATTCATTCTCTTATTCATGAAATGATTTGAACTTCCATTGCCATTCAAAATCATGCTATGTTTTGTATGCTGTATTGTGTTTTATGTCTGTATTTTTTCCCATTCAGTAAGTAGGTTCAATTGATTGATAATCCTTTTATTGTTCATTCCTTCAGTATTCCATCATTCATTCTACAATATACATGTATTCTCTATCATTCATTTCTATTTTACCCTAAACTTCTCAGCTGAATTATAACAGAGACTTTTTATATTCCTGGATTTTTGCTCTTTGATCCTTTTTTTTCATTCAGCAGCATCTGTCATTATTTCTATTTGAATGCATTAATGTACTATGAAATTGGAAAATTTTAAATCATTAAAACCATCAGAGAGTCTTGATTTGTCTGTTTGCATTCATCTAAATTACACTCGTTATTTATGTCTATTTGAATATGTTTCCTTCATTTGGAAAATCTCTCAAGCGTTATTCATCAAATCTAATAAGGTTTTCATTCATCTGTTGTTTATTGCATCTTTTGATAGACCACTATTTGAAGTTTTCAGCCAGTCATTCATTTATCAGATCAAATAAATCTATCGTGCAGCCAACTGTTGCTTGGTGAAATACTGGTGATTTATTTATTTATTCCGTTAGATTAATGGAACCTCGTGACAATATTGGTATATTGATTATCTAGCTCTCTGACCTTTATAATATTATGGTTATCCACAAATAGATCACCTATCACACTTGGTTGTCTAATGGATTTGACTTGTTCAGATTGATAATTACACGCCAGAACTTTTCTATTAAGTAAATCAATATGTATCATATCATAAAACTAACATAATTAACAGATTAAAGGGACAGATGGGCCGTTTCTTTGACCAATCATACTTGAGTCTCAGAATCTGAAATCAGTAATAGTGTTCACAGCTCACCATCGAAATTTGAGCCTTCAAATCCATGCGTGTCCAGAATTATCTGCGTTTGAATGTTAAAATGACTACTCGCCAATTTAAGATACTCTGTGATATATAGAACATACATATATAGAAATAGTGGGTAAAATTCCTAGTTTGAAGTATTTGAAAGAATTATGTAATTCTCAAACATTTCTAGTACTTCTGAAGACTATTTACATATATTCAAGATTAAAATCAACCCCCCAAAATGGCACACCTGTCCCTTAAACTCTAAAGTATTCAAGATAAACTAAGGATTCCTCATTTGTTAAATTTATAAACATGCACTACTTTATATAAAGGAAGCATTTGATTTAAGAGAATATATGATGATGTCAGTTGACTTGTTCACCATTCTGTTAGGTACTTCCATGATCTGGACAGCGGTTTTAAAATTCTAGATAAGCTGAGTTTCTCACGTCAGTGACAGTGGTGCAATTCACTAGACTGGTCTAAGTCAGAAGGGTATAAACAATACAAACCAATGCTCTGCTGCAAGTCAATTTTTTATTCAATACAAGGTTGTAGCGCAATTCAAGTTAACATAAGGCAGAGAAGAGTTTGGGTGGATTTAAAATAAGCTTGCATGTACATATTAGAAAAAAATAAGACGCTTCAGCGTTGTTTCAAAATTATGCTTTATTAGCCTCCATTATGCTAATGTCATAATAGATGATAAAGCTGTTAGTTATTTTCAATCAATATTAACTATAGAGTTTTGTTTTAAACTTAGATAAAAACAGAAAAATGATCTGATTTACTTCAATTATTTAATATTATATAAACATGAGGATTGGATTTTGAATAAATATTTAAAATCCGCTTACCTGACTAATATTGACAAACCAAGAGATAAAAATGTTGTTAAATATTTAAATCACATCCTGTATTTTATTGTATTGTGGTGTCTAGGATTGTCACCTTGTATCACACCTAGTGCACTTTCTTTTATATCTGTATTGTTCTATAACACACCAGGTTATTTAGCTACTAACTTTTATAAAGCTACTGAAACATTTTTACTCTGTTAAATGTGAGTTAATTTGGGAGGATTGGAGATAAGTTTTGTCACGTTTATCTGTGTTAGTTATACATGTGTGGTACAAAGTTATTTTGGATGTGTCTCAACCTTCCTTTGACATGCTTCAATTCATACCACAATGATAAAATTAAATATTAAAGTGAAAATGTGAATAAGAGCAACACTGTTGATATCTAATGAGTTTAACTTTCTGTTAATCAGGATGAAGATATTCTTTGTACACAACTAGCTAAGGAATCTAAAGAAAAAATCTTGTTTTAAAATTTCCACCATGGCTGAAATGCAAATTAGATGAAAATTGGTAGCATAAAGCACTGAGTTCTTTAGTAACCTCCTTCTTTACTACACTGTTTTATCCTTGTCATTCTTTTCAGAAGAAAACCTCTCAACACTTTGAAAAGAGCTGTTAAATTTCTGACATATTTGCGTGCTTTTAAATACAAGAGAAGTTTGTTGTCTGTCTAGAGATATAATTTCACACCCTATTATTGGCTATTTGAATCTGTTTGTGACCTTCACATTAGGTCAACCTATAAAGCTATATTAGGTAATATTACGCAATTCAGCCAGGGGCCATTAACAGTATAAAGGGGAGGTTATGGTATTAAATTTTTTATAGGGGTTTGATTGGGTTTAATCATACACTGATAAGTACAAGTCAATAAAGAGTAGAGTTGTCATGTTGGACTGTGATTGATCAGACCCCCCAAGAAATAGTTAACCCTAATCTCCTCTCTGTTATCATTTTCTCCTTCAAAAGGGCAGACATTTAGATCAAGTATTGATTTTGCTAGGGTGAAATCAGGATGTGAAAAGGATATTAAATTTTCAACTTCTGTGTATTATGAGGATCAAGACACTAGGTTGTTATTGAAATATGGAATATTAATTTCTGTGTTTTGAGATACTGTTGTTATATTGAAATTTTGGATTAAGTGTATATGCCAATAATGTTATAAGGATTGGAATTTTTGATAAATTGGTAAGATATGCTATATTTCAAGATCTTAACAGATGTTTCTGACAGTTTTTTAAACCACTGGAAGTATGTTGAATCAATAGGATACATTATCTATTGATTAAATGGCTTGACGGTCTAGGCAATTGAATTAGGTTGTTCCAGTGTGTAATTTGAATAAGTATCTAAAGGTGTGTGTACTCCTGAATAAATGTCTTGTCTCCAGTGCATAACTTCATAAATAAAACTAGTTGACTTTATTCTGTAGTAGAGTTTTGCTTCAGTTGGTATTTAGGTTATAAAATTTTGAATAAAACATGAACTCAATATATATATTGCATTGAATAAGGGACGTTCCGCTGTTTGAATAACATTTGAAATGTCTTCAGATATTGTTAACTTCATTAATAAAAGTAATTGACTTTATTCTGTAGTAGAGTTTTGCTTCAGTTTGTATTTAGGTTATAAAATTTTGAATACAATATGAACTCATTATATATGTTGCATTGAATAAGGGCGTTGAAATGTAATTTGAAATGTTTTCAGATATTGTTCCACTGCATAACTTCATTAATTGCACTTATGTCGTTATTCTACAGTATAGTTTTGCTTCATTTACTATTTTGGTTATAAAATTTTTAATGTAATATGAACTGATTATATGTTGCATATGTTGACAATAAGACTAGTTCAACTGCTGTTATAATGTTGAAGTGTTCTGAATGTCAATATTATGGTAACCATTTAAATTGATTTTAGAAACTCTATTCAAATTCAATTATGTCCTCATAACCCCAATGAATCATATAGAGTTTTGTCGTAGTTTGATTGTGGTGTTTAAAAGAGAATCTATTTATTTCAAGATTAAGACATGTACCAAAAAAAAAAAAAGGTGGTTCTCTCAGTTTTGAAATATTCTGAAAGCCACCATCTATATTAAACTTGATTTATAAAAACCGTATTACCTTAAAAAAATTGAGATTGCGTGTGGTAAGAATATAAGGTATTATGAGACTAAGCTGTTTTGAATAACTAAATAAAATGTAATATCACCATACTATTATTGTCCCAACCTTACTAGACAACAAACAATAGACAGTGTGCAGTCAGCCACATTTGATTAGTGGTCTAATAGCACCTAGTTTCAATGTGTTTTGGCCCACAGCCAACCCACTGACAAGTTTGTGTAAGCTTTCAAAGAGCCATTTGCTGGTGTTTGACATTCTTGTGTAGTTGGCTGGCCCGCCAAACATTGTGAAGGTCAGTGATATAGTGTATGTTGCTAGCGTGAAGTTGTATTAAAATGAGATCTATTAGAGAGTTAGTAATGGAGTGAAGTGAAGGTATATATTTATACTAAGAGTGTTATTGTGAAGTAAAGTGGGAGATATATTGTGTTCTAGCATTCAATATGGGAATATATAAATGTGATACAGGATAAAATATTTATAGTAGGATATTGTATATCTGGTATTTGTTTTGGTGAGTGATTCAAATATATTGTGTAGTGTTCTTATTTAGCTCTTTGTTAGAATGTGAGGATTGTGCTGGGATAATCATGGCTACATTCCATTCTAACCTATCTTTAAAGATGGTGTGATTAACATAGTAAGGCTACCTTTAAAAGAAAATGTAACAAAGAAAAAAGTTTTTGAATTCTGTATTGAGCAGTGTTTTGTCCAGATTCCATACATACGAAACCTATCTTTTCATCAGGGTTTTAAGAGTATGATGGTGTGATAAGCATAGTATGCCTATTTTTAAATGGGTAGTGGAAGGAGGAAAGAGGCTTCTGAATTTAGTTTTGAACAGTTTTATTAAAAGTTCCTTTCACTATGGCTACATTCCATACACACTTCTTATTAAGGTTTTTTAAGATTATTTGCGATTTGCACAATATGGTTATTTTTAAAAAGAAAATGCAACATGGAGGAGAGAGGCTCTTGAATCAATATTGAGTATTAAGTTTACATTTATCAGTGTTACACTCGGCACAAACCTAACTTATCAAGGTTTTTAAGAATATAATATATAAACAGGAATGCTGGCTTTAAATCATATTTTAGGAGTCTTTTGAATTCAATACTGAGTTAAGGTTACTTTGTATAGTTACATACCATAACATTTCAAATCATTATTAAATGATATAAAATAAGTATCCTGTGACCGAGTTATATATATATATATATATATATAGTATAATGAGTTATTGTGTAGTTGATATATAACATTGATTTATGTACTGTGTGATATTCAGTTTCAATATCAATACACTCAATTGTCATCTAATTTCATTGTTTCCACACTGACTGACTAGAATAGTTTACGCATATTTCAGTACTATAGTTTCAATATTAAGATTGGTGAATATAGATGTGGGTTTATGTGAATGCCTGTTTTACTGTCAACCATATTGGAGTGTGATCTAGGTCAAATGCGAAGTTTGATACTGTACTGTTGTAAAAGTTTAACTGTGAATTTGAAATCGTTAGATGTGAATTTTGTGTTATATATGTGCTGAATTGACCCATTGATTAGTGTATTTTTGTGTTGAACAATTACTGAAGGCTAGTTGTGATAATTTTATTGTTGAAATGAATATACACAGTGGTTGTGAATTCATATTTCGGGATAAGCTATCTTGTAAGATTGTGGATTTATGCAAATGTTATTTATCCTCTTGTGATAAGTTCGTAAACTGTGGACAATTTCAAATACAATTTTATCTTTTTCTGATGTATTTTAAGGTCACTAGTACAACAGCCAGTTTTAAAATGCCAATGAATTTGAAGTTAATTTTTATTTTGAATGAATGAACCTTTTAGGTAATCTCACTGAACAGGATTTACTTCATGATATGAAATAGTGAAAACAGTTGCCCTGTATTTAGAATGAACAGGTGTACATTGTTTATAACAAGTTGAACTACTGTCTAATTACTATTGTTGTTTATTACAGGCACATCTAGCAAGACGACCAAATCAAGTTATATTAACACAAATACAAACAATAAAAACTAGTGCTACTACTCGTACTTCTAAAACACGACATCATCGAGAATCTTCTAGTGATAAAACAGTTGAGAAACCAGGTTAGTATTGTCTTCTTCTTGTGAACTATTGTGATATTATTCCTGTATTCATTAAGAAACTGATTGATTGATTTCATTTCTGCATGGTTATACCTTCATCTCTGATTAAAAAAATTATAAATCGATGTAAATAATTGATATGTGATCAATAACACACATTCACGATCATAACTTTTGGATTATGTGGTTCAAGATTTACACTCCCTAGAAGCAGACCTCCCTGATATAATTGACCAATCCTCCGGCCACATGTTGACATAGAAATTGCCCCTTCATCCTTTTTACCGCTCCTCTAGTCCCTCAATTATGACCTTTGTGCCCTGACAAAATATGTTAAACCACAAAAGGACCCTTATTATATGATATACGCCTATATATTAATTATATATATATCAAGTTAGGAATGGATCTGATATATAAACTTGTCTATAGATTCAAGTCCTCATACAAGAAAATCAGCGAACCTTGAACCAAAAATATCTTGAATATAATCCCTAAAGGGCATCCATTGTGAGAGGTCAAGCGACAGGTGCTCTCTCTCCTTGATAACAGCCGAGGGTCAGAGACAATAAACATTAAAGATGGCCTATAGTTTGAAATAATAGGACGTTTCACAGGTTTGGACTTTCATAAATGACAGGGTTTCATTGTGTGGACAGAAAATAAATAACTTGTCAGGAATGTAGGTTAGAATAATAAAATGAAGTGAACGGTGTGTCTCAAATTGACCCATAACCTACAACAGGGTTAATGTGAAGTAAGCAGGCGAGTAACTAAAAATATTCTAATTACATTCTACTGTATGACCTAACTATAATGAAATAACATACAGTATATGTGGGACCTATATGTAGAATAGAATAGAGTTTATACAAGTCAGCAGATTGATTGAACACTGATATTGTTATTCACTTGTTATGGGGCTTATTCACTCTATTTACTGATGTAATGATTAAAAAAAATGCGCAATTACTAAATTACTAGGCTTATTTTCTATTATCATTTATCACAGACGAGTAATACATATTTCTGATTTGAAAAGTTTATAACTCAAGGTCAAGGAGAGCCTAATGATAGAAATTCTATACTTATTCAAATTAAATCTGAATTTGACACATATACTGAAAGTTTTAGAAGTATTCAGTGGGAGTAAAGTAAAACTAAAATCCATTTTAGGTATAAAACCTGTCCAATTATCTTACAGATTAACTGTAACCAACATAAAGATTACAATATTCACACATTATCTGTCCACAATACTTTTTTATTTGTCCACTAACTAATCACTGTGACAGTCACTTGCTAAGACTGACAAGTCCAGTCAACATTTTAAACTATTTATAGTAACATGTCTCATGCCAATAATCTGGGTTGATCTCTCATTAATTATGAATATATGAGTAAATCTCTTGAGATTAGCGATCAATATTAAATGGATTAATCATATCGTTAATAACTAGGACATTATTCATGATATTACTCAATAAAGATTTATGACTTGTAAGATAAAAGTAGGATGATGTGTATTATCCCTAGAGAATAGTAATATTATTAGTATTATAGCTATATTTCATATTCAATTTATGCTACAGACTTAATAGAAGCAGTTTCTAATTGGATTATTTTTCATATAGTGCAACATAATGTAGGTCAATGATTATCAATCTAGCATCCAGTCATTGCAGCCTCTGCAGCATAGGCTCTGAACATAAAGGTAAGCAAGATATCCTAGGACTAATGTTGGACGTGTTAGCCAATAAAACTTGCATAATGTATATTGTGATATTGTGAATAGGGAATTTTGACTTAAAACTGAGGAATTTGACTTTTAATAAAACAGCATGGTTGCTGCGATTCAGCGCCATTTGTCTAACAAATATCAAGTAACAAAATCAGATATGCCTTGAGTTATAACTGTAGAAACACTTAACACAGTTCCAAATAATTGGCATGATGCTCATATCTTCCCTATTACCAACTGATTTCATATTACCATTCATATACTTGACTACATTATCTCGAAATAAAACTCTTAATTTATTACACACACTCAACTTGGACCTCCGCCAAACAATCAAGTGCAAATAAACTTCTGCAGAATAAGCCAAGAGTAAATTTATCTAGAATTTTTTGCCTGCCAGAATTTTTTCCATCGTAAATTTGTCTAGCGTTTTATCTGGCTATGTATTTTATGTTATCAAAATAGAATTGAAGCAGAGTTAGAGAGAAAACCGTTGATGTTTTCAATTGATTGCTTACATATGGTTAGACTGAAATAGAAACAACTTTATCAAACAGTTGGCTTCGTTTCCCATCTTGTTGATTTGAACCATCCCTTATCACGCACAGCTTAATACAAACTACACGTTTCAATTAGGTTTTAGAACTTAACCTACTTTCCTTACAGAAACTTTATTATTTTCATAAAGACCTGAAATTTTCAAATTTAACCTTAATCTTTTTAAATAGGTATGATATAATCATAGAGCTGTGGGTTATTAGGATTCTGTTGCTAAATAAACAACTCTCTAACAGTCTGACATGTCAGAGAAGAAAAGTTTATTTTTAATTTGATTGATGGGATGAATGGTATGTCAGAAGCAATCATGTCAAAAGTCTGTATCTCTTTACGCCATTTTCTTATCAAATCTAACCAGTGTTACATATGTTTCTTTTCAGTACCTGAGAAATCAAGTAAAAAACCAGCACAGGTGCAACCAGCCCAGCCACCAGCACCACGTGAGAGGAAGCGAAGATCTGATATCAATGATGTGAGCAGACAATCTATCTCTCCTGGTAAAAAAGTTAAAAGTGAAAATGTGAAGGAACCAAATTCTCCGCGTAATATTAACACGAACAGTAAAGAGCTGAAAGTGGAAGTTGAGGATATAGGATTATGTAAAAGTAATAACTCCTCTTCCAAAGACAAAACTTTAAAAACTCGCAGAAATCCAAACGGTGCTAAAACTAACAATTCTGATAATAAAAACCATTCGCCATCACCAGTTGTCGCGAAGGATAAAAAACCTCCTGTTGAGTCAAGTGCTAAGGTGAAGGTCAGTGCTAAATCGAAACTTTCTACAGGAACTGCCAGTGAAAACAGGAAGTGCAAAAGTGATAAAAGCAAGGCAGCTAATAAATCTAATGATGTCTGTGGCACATCAGTTTCCACCACTGCTGATAAAAATTTAAGAACTCCAAAACAACTACCTGTAGATAATGACTCAAGTGATGTTAAAGAGTCGATTGATGAAAATAAAACAAACAATACAAACAGTGACTCAGTGACCCTAACATCTTCTAGTTCTAATATTGATAAAGTTACAGACTCTAATATTTCCTCAGACAGTGAAGATATGCACTTCAAAAAGCAGCTATTGTTAACAAGTGGTACAAACAATAACAAAAGCGAGAATTCCTCAAACGTTAGTGGATCTATAACGTCAAATATTGATGTGAATTTATCCGTTATTGATCAAGTGACAAAACTAGCGAAAGCTGAAAAACTAGCGTTGAATGGAGATGGGAAAAGTGACAGCGAATCTTCAGTTAGTGTCTCTCAAACCTCAGTGTCTGTTACTTCAAGGGAACAGAGTGAAAAAGTGGAAATAAAAACTCAGGAAATAAAAATCGAACGATCACGAGAATCAAACATTGGATTTCAGGCCTACGTTTCGAGAAGCAATCCAACTACTCCTGCAATGGATGAACGCTCAGATTCACGTGCTAGTGATGAACGCTCCACCTCAAGTGTTCATCACGAAAAGAGACCTAGTTCTCAATATGATGATCTCAAAAAGAGAAGTCCAGCTTCAAGTCCTTTAGTGATAGACAGACACGATCCAGTGCTACCTTATCGTGACCCTGAATTAATGAAACAAAACCCTGTCCATTTTTTAGGAGGTATGATGGGTCATCCAAAGACATTGAGTCAATCCTCTTCATATCAAACAGTTCATAATCCCATACCAGCTACGCCCTCAGCTCTTCCTACCAGTACATCCTATTCCTCCCATCAAATAACAAGACCACTGCTGACATCTTTACCCAATCATTACCCTATTCCCCCTCAATCTCTTGGAGCCATTACTCGACCTCTTTCATTACCTCCTGGATATAGTCAGCTTGATGCTCTCACTGCCCACGCACAACATCAGCAACTTGCTGCCATGCAGTTCCAAAATGCAGCACATCTCATGCATTTACCGTATGCACCATTATCAGGCAACCATAGGTTACATCAGTTAGAGATACTATGGCAGCAGAAATTCCCTTCTATCCCTGTTCCACCATCTTGGTTGTTAGTGAAACATCAAGATGAGTTACTAAGTGAAGTCACATCCTTGCATCATCGTGAATTGGAGCGAGAAAGATTGGATCGCGAGCAGAGGGAGAGAGAAAGAATGGAACTGGAGAGAGAAAGAATGGAGGCTGTTGAGCGAGAACGCAGAAAAGAAAGGTAAGATTTTTAAATTGACCAAAAGTACTATTGGGTTCTAATGTTCATTATTAACAAAATAAAAGTTATGTTAATTTTGACCCACTAATCCTGACTTTCTTGATGCCAAATTTGAGTCTATGTGGTCACTTGACAAATACAAAGTACCCACATGTTGAGATTGATTTTCTTGGGTCAAATTTTCGATTTGGCTGGTGTCAGATGTGTTGACCCTTGAAGTCTGGAAGGTTGCTGCAGCTTTTGTTTTTAAGCCAGAGTATGAAACTGTCAATATATACAGGCATTGATTTTCTTAAGGAGAAAAATCTGATTCAGCTGGAGGTGTTGTCACTCGACTAATGTAAAAGGATATTTCTAGAAATCACAATTTTCTGTTTGTTTATCAGCTGTTACTTCAAATAAAGATTTGGCAAGCCTCTAAATTTAGAAAGTACATTGGCTTTGTTTTATTGCCATATGGTGTTTTTGAAATGTTCCCTGTTTAAGAAAACCAGGATGTTCTTTTACTAATGGCTTCCACCCTGTTTCTGTAAACAAAGAAAATGTTTTGAATCTGAAAATAACTACTGGGAATTGGTATTTAGTTTTGAGGATCGGGCTCACTTTAACATATTTGATTGTGAAATATTTTGTGTTTATCTGTGGTCTATTGCTCTCTGCCGACAGCTGACATTTCTAATGACCTTGACCTTTGTAGCAGACACAATTGAGAATGACCAGATGTTCATAAACTATGATAATTGCATGTAGCTGGGAAACTGGACATTGAAAGACATGGGCAGCTGTTTCTTATTAATTGAGGAATTTATAAGAAGTGTAGGATCACTGTAGGGTGTTGCCAGTTTCCCACTGTTTACAATCTGTAATAGTGTTTCAATGAAGTAAATAAATTCACTGGTTATTTCCAGTCTGGTTATCCAGCCAGTCTGACTTTCAACAGCTTCTTGTGTTGGGTTGTTAATATGTCATGTCATTGTGGCTGGTGCATGATATTGGCAGATAGTTCTTCCTACTAGTGTTGTCATTCATTGATTTTGTTGACTTTGACTTGTGGATTGCAATATTGATGGCTTTCTCCTTACGATATTAAAAGTTATTAACAAGTCAGATTTTGGTGTTAAATAATCACATTGCTATTATATATATCACACTCTATGTCATATAAGTCATATGATTCTGTTATGATGATTACAAAAGTCACAAGATTTGTATCACAAAGATGATTGACATATCTTGCTTTATTACATTTAGAAACTGAAAGTAAGCTAATGCTGTGAAATCCATGATAAATTCTTCCTTTGAGTTTTAAATTTGAATTGTAATAATGAATTTAAAACTGTGTAATAAATGCAAATTATTTGTTATGATATAGATGAGGATAGGAAGGAACTAGTATGGTATATTATGAGTCATTTTGAAATAACACGTTCATCATCCCTGTACTCGTTCAACTGTCATATCTTTACTAGCCAGTACAAAGCCACACATTCGTCTTATAGTATTTTTTATTTAGACATATCCCTCTTGTTTTTCTGGTTTAAATATGTCAGTTTTTATTCTGTGACATTTTACATTAAAACAGACAATTTGCATGAATATTGTTGTTTAAGCTTTCCAAAGCGTAACATTGTATTTTTCCCCAAAAAATGAGCAAAACACAGGAAGCTATTCATGGGTTTACTGAAAGGCTACAAATTAAAATATTTTTTGACTGCTTAGATTACCTCAACCTGTGCTTTCTTGGTTTTAATTTGATTTTTCTGAAAGCAATTATTATCTAACATTGCTAATAACTTTTGGAAGTTGCAACTTTGGTTACTCTTACTCTTAGTCTTTTTAGTGAATCCATTGTTAATTTACGATCTAATTCATGTATATTTTGATAAAAGAAGAGAATTTGTTTTGAAAGAGAATTCAGTATAAGTTGACCTTTACCCTTGCCACAAACAAAGATTAAGATATATAGAAGATAAGAGTAAAAATAGTTTAGAACATACAATACTGTTAGTTATATATGACACGAGAAACCAGGCCAAGTTAATATATTTATATATTCTACTTGATATTATACAACATGTCTAAATATGGTAATATCATACACTTACTATCTCATTATATTCTTGTTAAACCTTCTTATTCAACTCTATAGTTGATTTGCCACATTGCTTGATAAAAGCGTTATGTTTACATAATGCATGCATAATTCTACCTGTGCTAGGTGGTGCCTGTTAGCTTGTTTGTCAACTAGCCTGGCCTTTTAAAAGATTACAGTGGCAGCTGTCCCTACCACATTAGAACAGCATTTACTTTCCAAAATCCCTGAAATTGCTCTGCTTTTGGGTTTTGTTAACTTGGCATTGCAATTATAAAGTCCATATAGATATTGTTGTTAGGCATTTTGTTCCATTTGTCACGATAGAGTGGTTGTCCCATTTTGATATTTTCTGTGGATGAAGTTTACGTGACAACCACACTTGAAAATGTCTGATGTATACTGGTAATGTCAATAGAATAAAGATAATAATACATGATGTCTGGCCTCATTCCTTTATGTCATGTTGAGCTGGAGGCATTCTTATTCAACCTTTGAAATCTTTGTGTAAAGTTTGATATTTGTTGTTGAATCTATGTAGGTGTTGGATTATGTTCATTAATTATCAAATACTTTATTTTGGTCTGAGTAGAATAGATCTAGCATAGCAGTCAAGTAGTTCTGTCGGATTATTTTCACTAATGAGTCCCCAACGGTCACGTATGTAATCTGTACTTTGATATTGCCCTGGGTCAGGCTTATTTTGTCTGTTTTATTTGTATTCTTAATGTTTACTTTAGGCTTAATCCTCCCCCTCGTGCTAAACAAAGTGTTAATTTGGCACAATATTGAAATATTCTGTAAATAACTAGAAACTTGGTCACTTTTTAAAGAACCGGTACACTGCAAGCTACTTTTAAAAAGTACACTAGATGTTTACTCATATTTTGAAACAATTCCACACGATTAAAATTTGAGAGATGTGTAGCGAAAGGGCATGGAAAATAAAAAGAGGTCCTATGTGCTTCAGGCATAGCACATTGAAGATCTTTCAGCAGTTAGGCAGTCAAACTGTTATAACAAAATTTACCTCATTGCAAACTGCATGGCATAGGTCAACAAAGAGTTGATACATAAACCTTTGTTTTTTTCATTTTCTTAGCCAAAGAATGTACCTATGGATGTATGTAAACATACATTACACAATGTTATATCAGTTGCAAATGACCTGTTATGAAAACCTTGTGTAATCTTACATAGAAGATTTAATGCAATGTTATGCAAATTTGCCAGCTTTTTATTCTGTGTTAATCTGGTAGTATTATAGTATGTTATGGAGAGATATTGGCACTTATTGAACAGATATATCACTAATGTACTAATCATATTGCCAGATGTCACTGAAATTTACAGGTAATGCAGTGGTTCATTCTATTATGTAGAAAAAATTGTGAAATTTGGACCATTATTGACGTTAACTTGTTACTTACTGTTGTTGAGTTTTGATTTGTGGCAATCTGCTATTTTCAGTGTTTACCATGTCTACAGAGAAAGAAATGTCTCAAACTCATCTGTATTCATGGAGCAGGCAGGAGAATCCCCTTCTGAAGAATTATCACAATATTCACAGCAATCAATATTCAATCAAATTTTGACTACGACTAATGGATCTGAATTTCTATGAATGAATCATCTGTCATATTTTTAAAATAGTTCTGATGTCATAGACCAATCATATTAAAAACATATGTTATATAGCTTCAAGATAAAACGTAAAACAATATTAGGATTGTCTTGACAAGTGTTGTCAGTTTGTCCAATACATTGTTTATATTCGCACTATATTGCCCTGGGCTGTGAGTTTGTCCAAGATATTATTTATATTCGCACTATATTGCCCTGGGCTGTCAGTTTGTCCAATATATTGTTTATATACGCATTGTATTGCCCTGGGCTGTCAGTTTGTCCAATATATTGTTTATATTCGCACTATAACCCCCTGGGCTGATATATTATACTAAGTCTTGTTTCTTAATATACCTGTTCAGAGAAATACACTCCTAAACAATAACAACCTTTGTTGTTTTCTCTTTCCATCCTAATAGTAATTAGATTAACTGTCTAATTATTTCTGGCCTCCAGAAATAATTGAAATTTCAGAAAATTTCATTACTCTAGAGAATATATATTGTTGGCATTTGAATGCCAAACCTATCGCTAGAAATGAAATGCAAGAAGGGTGTCCCAAACTCAATTGAGGATAGACTATTTTCAAATATTGGTATAAAATCAACAGAGTGAACTTTAAGGCATTTTTAAAAATTTTGAATAATGACTTTGCTTGGAAAACATGTTGATCACATTTTAGTAATTCAAATGCAGGATTTCAAAATTAATAGAGCATTTTAAACAAGTTGTAAAAAAGATTTTTTAAGAAACAGCGATCTGATAATTTGGATTAGTCATGCAATTTCTTAACATGTTATTCTCCTTTTTAAACATTATTCATTGATCAAAGACTTTATCTGCAAGTATTGCGCAATTTGAATTCTATGTGCAGTTTAATCATAAATAGCGGTCATGAATTGCTAATCAATATATATGAAAGACTTGTTTTCTTGACTATGAAAATAGAAACCAAGCTGAAAGGTAGAAAGAAAAATTGATTGAAGGGTTAGGTATTGATAAAGCACGAGACAAGAGCTAGGTCTAGAGCTAATCATTAATATTCAATGAGCTAGCAGCCTATTCAACTTGTCTTATTTAAATATCAAAGTACAATAGTAATGGTGATATTTTAGCAGTTTAAATAGACCTCCTAAGGTAGGTTGATCTTCAATAGAGTGGTTTAGAGGAGAGAAAATGTCTGCTATTGAGGTCAAATGATATCTTATTCATTATCGTTTACACATGTTATCACTCTAACTTGTAGTCTGCTACCCTCATTGGCAGCCATATTGGATTTGTGTTGG